TGGCGGGAGAATCAATACAGACAGCCATGTTTACGTTACTTCAATTCAACAAGAAATGGCTTGTTGGACTCGGTCGGCAGTGACAGAGTGTGTGGAATGGAAGAGGCATACTTGCCACCTACGCATGCCAGCCGCGATATTTCTAAACCTAATAGATTTTCTTATGGGCTTATAATACAAAGATGTGATTGGTTGAAATAGAAATTCGTTGGCTGTCAAACTCAAATTTACATAACCTACAATTAGAAAATTGTGAAAAAGTGTTTTTGTACGTATTTTGTTAAATTGTTAATTAAAATGGTTATTAAATTTGAATCGAATTTGCGATCAGCAGTAAGCGACGAGGATTGTGCTTATGTAAGTAGCATTACATTAAATTTAGTTTTAACACTATTTTTAATTTTAATATAATTGTTTTTTAGTTTTACGTTTTACCCGAGGAATATGATACGAAAGTAGTTAAATATGCCGATCTCACGAATAGTACGTTTGAATGTACACTCAGAATTCCTATAGATTCGAAATTCAAGGCTTTAGAGTGGTTAAAGGCTTTAAAAGAAGCAACTTTGACTTTATGGCGATCGTATGTGACTTATACAGAAGACACACCGAGAATAATTTTTAAGAAAGATTATAGATGCGTTCACAACACTTTGTCCAAGAAAAAATCTAACCCACACGAAAAACACACTAATTGCTCTGCAAAATTGAGAATAACTGTAAAACGACAATTGATAAAGTTAGTGTTAAGAATTTTGTATTGTAAATGCAATTTAGGTTACATAAATTTATTTTATTAAAAAACACTAATCAAGTTTGTTTTTTAGGAGTAGATACATTGACCTGGCAACGAGGCCTTGTGAAATATTTTTATTGCACACACATAATCATGAACTAAAATCAGCGGCAACTTTTAAATTCTTAAAATCCAAAGAGGAAATTGTGGACATATTCCATAATCTATTCAATAAAGGGCATTTTCCATCTTCAGCTTGGCAAGCTTATAAATTTGAGCTGCAGTGCAAGCATGGAAGTGACTATTACAAAATAGCAGCAAATGGCTCAGTTTGTCCTACAAGACCTTTATTATATTCATTATTTAAAAAGGAATATGGTAAAAGTTGTGGAGATGGTATGGTGCAGAAACTTAGAAGTTGATAAAAATATATAATGAAAAATGTGGATCAAATTTTGCAAGTTGGCTGTCCAAGGATGGACATTTAATTATTATTATATGTGATGCTTTTATGAAAATAATTCATGAACATCTGTCTACCTCAGGAGAAATTGTATTTATTGATTCTAGTAGTAACATGGGTCGGCATATTTCAAGGGTATTTTGTTTGCTTTGTCCTTCAGTTGCTGGAGCACTTCCTTGGGAGTAATTATTACATTTTCTGAGGCTGAAAATGTTTTGTCAGGCTCTTCTAATTGCCTAAAATTATTATTTCCCTAAGGGGCATTTTTTGGAGGTGGATATCCAAAAATAATTATCACAGATGATAGTTCTGCTGAAAGAAATGCCCTCACTACATGTTTTTCCAATTCACAGCTACTTTTGTGTAAGTTTCACGTACTCCTAGCAGCTATAAGATACTTTTGTGATTCAAAACATAAAATATTACAAAGTGATCGCAAGGAAATATTTACAATTTTTTAAGATTTAATAAATATAACTAATTGTGATACATTCACAAATAGTAAAAATAATTCAGATAACTCCAAAACGTAAAATTCGACGAAAACTCAAGGCTATCATGATTACTATACTTTCCTTATCTGTATACAGAGAGGAAAGTAGAAAGTTCTGCATCACTTGGAAATCTGTAAAATTTCCAATGTACACTTTAGCATTGGTTTTGAATTATTTTTTAAATCGGAATCACTTTAAAAAAGTACAATATGATGATTTAAACTTAAGTTAGTTTTAAATTTCTATTTTACCTATCAACATTTTGCTCTATATTGAAATTTGAAAGTACTTACACTTCAGCATAAATCATTACTTTTTATTTTTCCTTATCAAATAATTTACAAATTTTAATTTTGATTATTATTTTATTAGTGATACAAGAGGAAATTTTATCAAGAAAAACTTTTTTTCTAAAAACTAATAAGACCATAGCTATATTATATATTTCTGAAAATTTTCAACCAAGTGACAACAGGTTCCAATTATTTTAAATAATCGCGCCAACAATTCAACCAATCACAGTCTTGCATTATAAGCCCATAAGAAAGTCCATTAGGTTTAGAAATATCGCATGCCAGCCATCTGCCGCATACCTGGCCTTCATACTGTGCGATCTGGGGTAGTATTCTCGAATCACGAATACCGACATTCGCATACGTGTTTTACAATGTGTCTCACTTTGTTGAACGAAAACCAAGTGAGACAAATCATAAATCTCGCATGCGAATCTATATTCGTGACTCGAGAATACTACCCCGGAGGTTGAAAAAATGACAGCCCCCGCATATAAAGGAATGAATAATATGTGTGCAAAAGGGATGTATTTAGTTCATTTTCTAAACATTTACGGGGGTGATACATTAGGTTGTACAAAATAATCAGAAAAAGTCTGTAGTAACTAGACAGAAAAGTCATGTGTTGAAAACAGCAGATTTTTTTGTTCTTCAAGCAGAGTCGCAATTAGTGGCATCGTCGCTAATAAAATTTCAACAGAATTATTTTTAAACTATGTTTGAGTCATAGGTGATCAAAATTCTACAAAAAAAAATAGAATGAAACAAAATTTTTATTAGGGAATGAAGAAGGAAGTGAGAGAGAAGAAAAAAGTGAAACGCAAAATATTTGCAATTTACATAGTTAAAATGCAAACTTTGAAACAAAGATATACTTATTAGGGATGGGGCAACAAAGAGGGAAAGGAATGAGAAAATTTTCATCCAAAATGTTCCCGTAAATCAAGTGAATTGCGGTGACTATTTTGACATCTTTTCTCTCTCGAATAAAAGGCCGAATGAGAAAGAACTACTGAATAAAAAAATGCTTGCATAGACAATACTCTTATTTGAGAGGCATTCAAACATTTTGATAGAAATTAAACCACCTTTGGTTCCGATTTTACATCTATTTCAAAAAATTGGTCACTTTTCGTCATGTTGAGTTTTTTCATGTCAACACATTCATTGACTCATAAAAATGCTTGGAATAGCATCTTAGTTTCAGAAAAACCGCTTAGCTATATCCCGAATTTCATTGAAAAGGAAATATCCGATCACGTGGCAGAAATTTCTACACCGGAAGTAGCCAAATCAGACGACAGAAAATGCTTTCGACGAGGGTTTTTTGATTGTTATTAAACTCTAGAAGCATATATTTCATTGCCAGCAAAAAAGGAAACAATTCATCTACAAGCAACTTTACCTTGAATTTCTGTTGACAAAACCGAAATGTGAACGCCATTTAAGGCATTGAAATTTGATAGCTCTAAAAAATTATTCTCAAAATTACTAAGCATTTAACTAAAGCTCAGACGGTGAGGGCTATAGCAATGTTGGAATAAAATTTATCTCCAAGTAAAGTGGCTGAAATGCCAGTAAAAGTTGCTTATTTTGAATTACGGAATATTACTCAAAATATATGTGCTTGAAAAAAAAATTCCTCGAAAATGTATTTGCTCGAAAAAACATTTGCCCGAAAAAACATCTTGACGAAAGTACATTCTCACCAAAGAACATTTGCGCCCAAGATCTTTTTGTCGAAAGAAAATATGAAATACGTTTTGTTGCACTCGCGTACAGGGCCGCCGAGAGCCAGGTCGGCTCCCAGGACAATTCTCCAGAGCCCCGCGATAATTTTATAAAAAAAATTTAAAAATAAAAGGTCTTCAAGCAAAAATTTATCCTCCTCTTTACTTAAATTTCTCTAAAAAAAAGAGGTCTTCAAACAAAAACTTCTCCTATTTAATCTGAATCTCTCTAAAAACAAAAGAACAAAAACAAAAAGTTTTCAAGCAAAAATTTCTCCTCCTCTACTTGAATTTTTCTAAAGAAAAAAAAAAAGGCTTCAACCAAAAACTTCTCCTCCTTTTTACTAAATCTCTCTAAAAAAAAAAAATGGTAACTTCCTCTCTCTTGTGTCGAACTTCTGAAAGTAACAAAAAAAATTTCGCCACAGTTACCGGGCCCCCCTTATACCGTTGCCGGGCCCCCCTTATACCTCTGCCGGGCCCCCCTTATACCTCTGCCGGGCTCCCATTTGAGGCCGGGCCTCGGGAATTAGTCCCGGCTGCCCCCCCCCCCCCCCCACCTCTTGTCGGACCTGCTCGCGTACATGATCTGAAATGAGAAATATCTTTCTAGTCTCATTAAAATTGAAAAATGCTTAGCTTATTTACCTAACCTAAAAATTATACATGAAATGAGATAACATAAAACAAATTTTTAACTAATTTACCTAACCTATTCGTCCTGAAGCCATTTAAATTTTGTAATATCCAGTAAGTTTCTGCGAAAATGCCTTTTTAGACTCGGTGATGTAAACCATTCGATCAAATTGTTCATTTGTGCAAATATATTTTCGATGAAATGCTATTTAGTGCATATTATGTTCTTTCGTGCGTGTAATGTATTTTCGAGTAAATATTTTTTCGAGCAAATACATTTTCGAAGTAATATTTTTTCGAGCAAATGCTTTTCGAGAAAAAAATTTCGATCAATATTCCGTAATTTATCTAAAATTTAGAGTAGTTCTTTTGTCTCTTTTTGGAGGGTAAAGTTTAGAGTGTTTTGCAATCATGGTGCTCTTTTTATTTTATTTTTGTTATTTTTGTAAAAATGGTTGTATATGTAGTTTTAAAACATACTTTTTTAAAATTTAATTTCTTCTTCAATTATTGGTATTTTTGTATATTCTAGTAGATCCCAAGTATCTAGATGTATTTTAATAACACTGTCTATTCTCACTTTAATATTATTAATTTGTTTCTTTGTATAAAATATTAATTTGAATAATGAATGATAGTTATACTTACTTTTTGGTAGAAAGAATGCTGTCCTAAGAACGGGCGAAATCAGTCTATGTGATGAAGTGCTCGTTTCAGGATATTAACATGTTTTTTGTGTCCTTCTTTCCACAAGCAATTTACGTGGTGCCATGAAACCTGAAAACGAAAACGAAAAAGCTCTTAGAGACAATTTCTTCAAAAATTATTGATAAACGCTTATCAATTATTTTTTTAAATGGTAACTGTTAATTTGAATATTAGATATTGTTGAAAATAAATACAACTTATTTCATTAATATATCAGGCAAGCTAAGCCCAGAGTGCCAAACGAATCAATTGATAATTAAACAATTAATTCTTTAAAAATAATTCTGCACTTCTATGCATTGACAAACCGATCTATGCGAATACTTTTAATGTCAGAATCTTAAAAAGCAGATATTTTCAGTATTTGCCATCTAACAACAGAATTAAACCAGTCCCTAATTAATAATATATTATTTATGATTCAATTACCCTAATTACATGCTCCGGAGTTTAATAAACTACGATACATACATCTCTCTCTCACGTATTAACGACAGTTTGAATTCTAAAATCACTTGCAAGGTGTGACGTAATATTAAGCCACGCTAAAAAGGTTACGTCATCAAACTCCTCGAGAGTTTTATAGGCTGTTGGTGGATAGCACATAAATAGTAAGCGACTGCAAAAAAAGCCAGAAGAAGCAACAGATCGTTCTTCTCGCAACCTAATATGTAAAACACATAACATATAAAAATTTTATTTTAAACTCGAGGCAGTTATGCCACGCAAGTGATTTGGTTTATTAGGCCAACTGTCAACATATTTCAGAAAATGCGTCGCAGAAATTATAAATATTTAATTTATGGCATACTCAGGTCTCAGAAGAAGATCCTATCCTCAACTTCAAGATCTACATCAGGTCGAAAATATTTCTTTTTATATATGTGGGCTTTTGAGGAATAAACCAGTACTGCACGAGCGCTTTAAAATTAATTAGCAGCAACAATGAGGACCCAATTTTTTTATTAAATGTCTGTAATAGACTTCTTGAAGCTTACTTTTATGCCAGAAAGGTGGTTAGAATGCCTTGTATAACAACAGCACATCGAAGAGCTTTTATATTTTTTTGCAAAACACATCGTCATTGGGCAATGTCACAAAAAACAAACAATGTTTGTTTACGGATAAATTCAGATTCTGTTTAGATCACCAAGATGGACGAGTTTGGGTATGAAAGCAACCAGATGAGCAGTATTTAGACTTAGCTGTACAAGAAACTATTTGGTTTGGTGGATGGTTTGTTATGGTATGAGATGGATTGATTATGTTTAAATGAGCGCACTGACCTAGTGGTAATTAAAAACGGTTCCTTAACTGCATTACGTTACGTAACAGAAAGTTTAGAACCACGTTGTTCCCTTTGGGAATAATATAATTTAATTTTCCAGCAGGACAATGCTAGACCACACGTGTCTAGGATAGTGACAACTTTTTTATTAGACCACAATAATAATGTTATGGAATGGCCGGCTAATAGACCAGATATCAATACCATAGAATACCTTTGGAATACATAAACGTGAAGAAATTACTATTTGAGAGTATGTGCAGACCCTGCGCTGAAATTATCAAAGCCAGAGGAGGACACATCCAGTACTAAGAATAGTTTTAAGATAATATCTCATACAGAAATATAAAAACATTAAATTGCTAATAATTGATTCGTAATAGAAATAGCTATTTGTGTATTAAGAGCGAAAAGTGATATTTTGTCGCTTGAGACAACGAACTTTTCGCTCAAAATGCACACAAGATTTTTTCTATGATCACATTATTTTAAGAAATAGATGTAAAAACTGAAAATTTGTCATAAGTAGTGTATAATGTGTTGCCTATATCTACGTTAATCATGAAAAAAGGAGTTGATATTCAAAGTCAATGTTAACTTGGATAATAAAAGAAAAAACATCAAACTAGATACAAATAACTTCAAAATCATTTATTAAAGAGAAATATTATTATATAATATCTAGTTTGGTTTAAATTAGGCATGCGACAAAGCTGTCAAGCTTTCCGCTCGGCTATCGACAAAGCTGTCACTTGATGTCAGTTCGCGGAAAACGTTAACTTTGCGGTTGAATTTCGAAGCGCAAAAGCTTACTTTGGATAGTCATCGTAGAAAAATAATATTCTTCTATACCCACATGGATATTAGTTTATTTACGCACACATTACAAAACGAGAAAGTATGTTATTATTACGTTCAACTGAACGAATATGTTTCATAATTATTCAAGGTAGTGAGAACACTGCAAAAAAATTAAATCCACCAATCACAGTTCATATTTTGGACACCCAGCTACTATTGTTTTTTTTTTTTAATTTGGTGTCATCGGCATCAACTACTAAGGTTATTAGCCTCGTGGTTTGTGTAGACTTTGTTACTGTTTCCTAGCGCCACTTTAGGAACAGCACTGTTCATTAGAACCCAACAGTAAATGGTCAAGTGGGGAATTCTATCAAGGCATTAGAATTAACTTTAAATAATTTAATTAAATAAAAAAAATCCCTGCCAACGGTGGGATTCGAACCTGGGACCCTGGGATCCGCAGGCAGAGACTCTACCATAGAGCCACCCACCCCCTCAGCTACTATTATTTTTAAACTGTCAGTATATATTTTAGTTATGGAGATTAAATATACATTATTATGAGTTATTTTTGTGTGGAATCGATATATAATAGCATTTTTATTTTTATTTGGTACACATTTAAAAAAAAATGAATCAAAATATGTGCTAATTTAATTACGAGTACAAAAACTAAAGTCCTAAAAGTGGCGATGGAGCTGAGAACAGAACATCTGCCTTCTACGCGAATAGCCCGGGTTCGAATCTGGGCTGGAGAATTTTTTTTCATGTTAATTTTATTTTTTAAATTAGGTAGAATTATTTTAAAATTAGTTGTTTTGTTTTATTAATCTAAAATAATTATTTAAATTTGTAGACTTTCGTTAGTGGACCGTAGAAAAAATATACTGTACAACTCGAGTAGATTGTCTATATCTCACTCAGACGATTGAATACTCTGCCTGCAGCGTTAGGCTCAAACTTCGTCTTCGTGCGATATGGCCATCATATTCACTCTTGTTGCACAAACTACTATTTTCTACATAGACATGGATATTAGCTTATCTACGCAGAGACTACAAAACAAAAAGTATGCTATTGCGTTCAACTGAACGAATATATTTCATATCCATTCTAGGTAGTAAGAACATTGCAAAAAAATGAAATACATCAATCACAGTTCATATTTTGGACAGCCAACTACTATTATTTTCAAAATTTTAAGAAAGTGACAATTCTGTCAAACTAATTGTCAGTATATTTTTTAGTTTTTGATACTAAATATAAATGAGTTATTTTTGTGTAGAATTTATTTGATCCACATGTAAAAAATAGTATATTACATTACGAGTGTGGAAAGTGACATTTTTCACACGAGTGGGAAATATTGTCGCACGAGGCGTAAGCCGAGTGCGACTATCACACGAGTGTGGAAAATCACTTTTCACACAAGTGATGTACAATATTTTTCCTACGACCACAAAATAATTTCATCAAAAAATGTAAAACCAGATTATTATAATAATTAAAATGTATTTAAAAAAATAATCAACAATAATCGTATTTATTAAATTTTCATAATTTCTAAACAAATAAAAAAAAATAAAAAAAAAATAAAAAAAAAATTCTGGCACAGCCAGGATTCGATCGCGGTCGTTGGACGGTCTCAAATTGCAAAGTTGATGCTCTAACCAACTAAGCTAACAGGCCTTACGGTAATTGATTGATCTAATCGCTTATGTGTTTAATCAGAATAAAAAGCAAATATATCTTAGTTATTTTAAAATTATTTTAAAAATAATTGTTAAAGATAAATATCTAGGATCTAATTTACAATAATTTAACAATCATATCGATTTTAGTATTAATATGGACATTACATAGATCAAAATAGAAATTATGTGTTTGACATTTTCTGACAGCTACTGCGGAAAGTAGCATATTCTCACTTGGGTGGAAAGTAAATTCTTATTCATACGCGTGTGATATAGGGCACTTTCCATAGGTCTATATAGTGTGATATGTGTCACTTTCCTAAGTGGTCGTAGGAAAAATAAATTTTAATCAAACTATATGAAACTAATTTAATAACGAGTAAAACTAAAATCGTAAAAATGGTGGTGGAGGTAAGGACAAAGCGTCTGCGTTCCACGCGAAAATCCCGGGTTCGAATCTGGGCTGGGGACTAATTAAATTAAATCTTATTTTTTTCATGTTTATTTTATTTTATAAATAAGTAAAATTCATAAGTTAGTTTAAAATTAGTTATTTTGTCTTAATAACATGAGACACGTTTTTTTATTTGTAGATTTTCGTTAGTGGGTCGTACAAAAAATATACTGTACAACTCGAGTGGATTATCCATATCCACTTTTGTTCCATAAACTACTGTTTTAATTCATAACCTAGATCAAATATTAATGCTGATTCTTAACCAAGATAGTTTACGTAGTGCCCATATGTGTGATAAATAAAAAATTGTAGCTTATTATCTTTTCTCACCTGAAAAATCCAAATTTTACCGACTTTCACATTTGCGTAAAAAACTTAGTATTAATAACCACCAGTTATTGAACAAAAAAATTTATATTTTTCACTTAGAATCTGCAGTTAAAATATTATCCATTTCTTATTAATTACCCTGTAGAAGTACGTACTACTTAAATTATAAATAAAACTTTTTACTCTGCGACAATGACCTACATTTTACTGGAAAAACGAGTGTTAAAACAGTCAGTAAATTATCTGTATCTCTGTAGCGAAACCGTCTTTTCCTTTTTCCGCTTTTCAACGATAAACTTTTCCACCATCCTATAATACTTGTATGTCAACGAGTACGTAAAACATGACTGTTGAAAGATAAGAGTTCCAACTCGAATACATTCGTTAGCATCCAGTAGTGGCTTGTTATTTTCCTTTTACGAAAGATAATCGCATGAATGGTTGTAAAATGTGTGGCTATGTGAATAAGTATTTAATTACTTAGCTATACATGGGTTGA